AGCTGTCCTAAAATATCTACCCACCTAACGGTCATATCATTGAAGGGCATTTATGTCTTATCATGTCGGGCTGCTCCCTAGGCTATAAATAGCCGCCCCCTACAACCACTAGCTGGTTGGCTACTCCGAGAGAAACTGACACTTGTCATTTGAGAGCATCCCATCCTCCGAGGATTTTGAGTGAAAATCATCAAGTGAGGAAAACCCAAATCCAAACACCTACAAACCCAAGTGATTGAGCATCACTGAAGAGATTGATCCTGCGTGGATCCGACGCTTGTTACCTTTGAAGACTGTGCATCTTTCAGACGATTAGGCGTCATGGTCTAGAGCATCCAAGAGGAAATTGTGGATCGCCGAGTGACCGAGTCTGTGAAGGTTTGGAAGTCACTTGAAGACTTATCACGAGTGATCGGGCGAGGTCTGTGTGTCCTTAGCTTAAGGGGAATACGATGAGGACTAAGTGTCCTAAGATGCGTGTTCAGGACTGGGTGTCCAGGACTGGGTGTCCTCAGATTTAAATACCTAGCCGCCCTAACCAGACGTACAACTGTCACAGCAGTTGGAACCGGTCTACCAAATCATTGTCTTCACCGAGCTAACTGGTTCCATTTCCTCAACCCTTCCATTTCTTCTTATCTGTGTTGTGTGCTTGTTCATATCTGTTTGAAGACTTTGATTGAAGACTTTATCTATTTTCTCAGCTCAATTTCTTCAGTCAGTCAGTCTTATCCTGTGTTTACGCTTTCTGTACTCTGTGCTTGTTTTCATTTCTTCTTGAAGACCATGCTCATGCTATGTTATGCTTACTTCTGAGTACTTATTCCGCTGCAAGTAGTTCTTCACTCAAGAATTTCCTCACCCCGAAATTCCTTAGTGAAGATTTCATAAAAATCGCCTATTCACCCCCTCTAGTCGATATAACGCACTTTTAGAGGGAGGGGGCACTATGAGTGGCGAAGTGGGATCGGACTGGCAGGCAGCATAGTGCGCGGTGACAACATTGGCCATGGGAGCTCTATAGCTTCCCCATTCTTAATGAGACTTGCCCACCCTAGACCATACTGGCTTAGTGTTGACTTTTTTGGGGGAAAGCTAAATTTGAAGAACTAAATGAAATGAGAAATGGGCTAGTTAGGTGATAATTCCCAGTCAAAATGTTTTCCCTCATATTTAACTTTTGGAGGGTGGACTAGAGATGCCACAAAAACACTTAGCGTCCGAAGCGGCGTTTTGGCATAAAAAATAAAAAATAAAAAACGATGCATAATAGTAAATTCATTAAAAATGGTAAAAATCAAAGTAAAAAATCTGATTTTTTTGTGGTTAAAGATGTTTAAGTGTGATGTTCGTGTCAAATTTCACCGTGTTTGGACATTCGGCTAGCTCACAGTAAAAAAAAGAAGGGGTCTGTGAGAAAATTTATTATTCAGAGCGATTTTGTCTTTTTTGCCACGAGCTTCTCAGACATCCAAATACGCTGAAATTTGGCACGGACATCACAGGCTCGAATATCTTTTATGTAAAAGAAAAATTAGAATGAAAGGGCTGCGCCCCTGCTCCATTTCATAAAAAAACGAAACAACAGATCCAGTGTATATTACATCACGAGAGCTCAGGAGGGACAGCAGGCACGCTGCCGCAGTAAAGCGTCACAAATCTATAGCAACACAAAGCCAGAAACTAGAACTAGCAAAGTAAGATATCCAGCAGCGCTAGGGCACTTTTTAACAGAGAGAAGCTACAGGCATATTTGGGCCAACGCTAGGCGCCGGCGCACCGGCTGAATTTTCGGCCGGTCGCCTAGCGCGCCTGCCACTACTCCGTTCGGTTGTTTGTCTTCCGATGTTTTGCACGTGCGGATATATAAAAGAAAAGGAAGACTCGCTGCTCTTATCGTACTAGTGCATCGGAAAAAATATTATCTATAGTTGCTCGTTCTCTTTGCATGTTCGTACGTGTGTATTAAAAAAGACTTGACGTGCTTGCTCATTCTTCTCTTTGCATCTTTGTACATGTGTATCGAAAAAAAGACTCATGTTTCCACTTCGTATCTTGTACATGTGCATCGAAAAAAAGACCAACGCAGGGGCGCCTTGTGCGCCCGAGGAGCTAGCACCAGCTTCTCTCCGCTCTCTCGCTCGTCAAACTTTTCTTCTCTATCGGACTATCCCCACAACCAGCACCCCAAACCAGCCATGCGAGCACGCCGGTCATCATGGCCGTGCCCACCCATCCCTTGCTCCTTCATCAGCCCACGGTCGAAGCTACAACTGGCGAGCCTCGGTGCTGCAACCGTTTATGGCTTTTACTACGACCGACGACAACAATTGCTAAAACCATTCGTGGGGATGCTGCATTGGCAACAACAACGACAACCATTTGTTGCAACCGTCATCGGCTTTTGCTACGACCAGCGACGACAGTTGCTACAATCATTCATGGCGATGCAACAATCTACTACGGCATTGACGAAGGCTTGTTGTAGCCGTCGTTGACTTTTGCTGCCACCGGTGATGACATTTGCTACAACCATTCATGACAATGCAATGATCCGTGATGGTGGCGACGGCGATTTTGCTGGAACCGACGTCTGCTTTTGCTACAACCGGTGCTGGAAAATTGCTACAACCATTTATGGTGATGATTGGCGCGAGGTCGTCGTCATCACAGCCCTGGCCGCATCTGTTGCAGCACGGCGCCGTCGTCCCTGGCATCGTTTGGTCGTCATCGTCGCAGCCCCTAGCCGCCTCCGTTATAGCACAGTGTGTAGCAAACCACGCCGCCGATTTAGTCGATTGTAGCATAACTCGACACTGGTTGTAGCTGGCTGAGAAGTGATTGTAGCAAAAACACACCGACGATTTGCAGAAAAGACGTCGTTTGTAGCAAATCGAGGTGCCGATTGCACCAAACCACGACACCCGTTGTAGCAAAAAATGAAGCCGGTTGTAGCAGGGCAGTGACCGATTGTAGCAAGAAACATGATGCCAGTTTCTACATTGTAGCAAAACACGACGCTCGTTGTAGCGAACCACAGCGTCGATTGTAGCAAAAATTGAAGCCGGTTGTAGAACGGGGGCGCTGGTTGTAGCAAAGAAGAGGGCGACACCAGTTTTTTTGCGTTGTAGCAAAACACGATGGCGGTTGTAGCAAAGTCCGACGCCCGTGGTAGCAACACGCGACACCGGTTGTAACAGGGGTGTGGTGCTGCTCAGACCATGCAGCAGCCCACACGCGGAGAAACTCGTAGTGCACGTAGTCGCCGCACGCAGCACTGGTGTTTGGGCAGTCGCGGTGGCGCACGTGTGCAGGGACCAACCACCCTTGCGGTGGCTCCTCGAGAAAAAAATGAGTAGCACAGGATGCCTTTAGTAGCACCGCTCATGGTGGTTTCGCAGGATAGAAAAAAGGAAGGAAGCACCACCATCTGTGCAGGGCCATACCCGAGAAAATGGAGGCCCGGTGCGAAATCAAAAATTAGGCCCTCAACATAACAAATGGCAATCAGAAAAATAAAGCTTGTTTGTCTAAAAAAAAGACAAATAAAGCTTGTATCTGCACTCTGATTTTCACAAGAAACTTTGATCCTTTTGGTAAAAACTTATCAAGAGCACATTTTCAAGGTCGAATTTTGTTTTTTTCTTTTTCTTAGGTTTTTCATAAATTGACTCAAGATTCGTAATTATAGAACTAGAATACTTTCAGAAATAAAAAAATAGGATGCAAATATCATGCATTAAAACTTAATATAGAAACGAAATTTGATGAAACAACCTTTGATTTATTTGGAAGGAACACCATTTGGTGGCAACATGGCTAGGGTCTTCCGGTTCCTCGTCTTGGTTAATCGGCAACCTAGTGCTTGTGGCATACCTCCAACTCCGATCAATGCACCCAGGTCGCAGGACCAGCAGCAAGCAACAATGGGACTGAAAGAAGCAGCGAAGATGTGTGAGAAGATGAGAGAAATGAGAAACCGGATAAATAGATGGACAGAGGGTAGAACAATACCAACTCATTGAATACAGAGATTAGTTTTGGGGGAAATACGAAGGAATTGGTCCACTGGAATGGAATAGAATCGAGACCTTTGGTGGTGTGATTGGACCATGGGGAGAGAAAGGGATTTGAGCTAGAAGTGAAAGAGAATGGAGAGAGAAGAGGAGGAGACGTGCGTGAGACTGGGCCTCCGCCTTGGAGTTATTTCGTTCCAGGTTCCAACGTGTATTTGCTGATGTGTTGATTACCCACACCTAAACTAGTCATCAATGCTCTAGAAAATTTGGGGCCCTGTCAATTTGGGGGCCCTGTGCAGTCGAACACTCTGCACAGGTGCGCCGTACGGGCCTGCATCTGTGGCTGCTGTAGAAAAAGGGAAGAGGAGCAACGGGTCAGCTTGATGGGGCAGGTGGGAGGTTGAAGAAGGAGAGGGAAGAAAGAAGATGTGGCTGGGAGTCCACGGGAAAGGATAAGGGGTAGGAGCGGGAGGGCGGCTGCGGGGGCATCAAAGGACACGTGGCTTGCGTGGAGTTGGCTGGATCGGGGGCGATCGAACGTCGCGCACCGGACCGGCCCAAATCGTTAGCCGGTCGACCGGAAGCCAACGTTTCCCTTTGCGAAAAGAACAGGGTCATGTTTTGTCATGCATAGGTTAAAAGGAGCATTTTTGTCAGTACATGGTGCTGGTACACTCCTGCTACATGCTGGGCTCTCTGGTCTCGTTCCACTTTCTGGCGAGAGCGGGCTATGGGGCGCCTTCGGTGTCCACGTCGACGTGAGCCGGACGCCTCCCTCCCTCCACGTACAGCTCTATCACCTCGTTCACGTGGCCACGGCCGCGTCCACCGGCGAGGCCCTCACGGCCGCTATAAAATGCGCGCCCGCTCGCTCACAATAGGCACAGCAACACAACATCAGCCAAGTGTCGTCACCATCGATCTAGCCAGCAGCACCTTCTCTAGTTCTCTTCCTGCGCTAGCTTTTCTCTGCCTTGAGTAATGGCGACCATGGTGGCTTTGAGCTCCTTCGCCGTTGTTGGCCGGTCCGCCGCCCGTTCTCCAGTGGTGGCCCCGCGCCGGCGCGCCCTCGTCGTCAGGGCCCAGACCGAGGTGAGCTTTCACGTCTCGCGCTCAACTGTTTTGGATGCTGGCTGGCTAGTGTTACTTCAAGACTCGATCTCAATGTAAAATTGTTTGTGTATGTGCAGCCTGGCATGGATTCAACCAAGGAGACAACGAGCGCATCGACCTCCTCCTCCTCTTCGAGCACGAGCGCGACCCCGACCCCGATCCCGACCGCACCCAAGCCCATGACCAAGAAGGCTAACCCCTCCGTGTGGGACGCGCTCGCCTTCAGCGGCCCAGCGCCGGAGCGCATCAACGGCCGGCTGGCCATGGTGGGATTCGTGGCGGCCCTCACCGTCGAGGTGGCGCGCGGTGGTGGGCTCCTCGACCAGGCCGGCAGCGGCGCTGGGCTTGGCTGGTTCCTGGTGACCGCGGGGGTGTTCTCCGTGGCGTCGCTGGTGCCGTTGCTGCAGGGCCAGAGCGTGGAGAGCAAGTCCAGCGGCTTCTGGAGCGCGGACGCTGAGCTCTGGAACGGCCGCTTCGCCATGCTTGGCCTCGTCGCGCTCGCCGCCACCGAGTTCATTACCGGCGCGCCCTTCGTCAACATCTAAGACCACGTAATGTAGCGCTGTGGATTCTTTTGTGCTGACAGATCGTAATAGTACTAGCTGTTGTAGGCAAGTTGCAATTTTGTATTACTATCGATGATTGAATTCTGTAAATCTCATGTTAAGGTTGTTTTCATGGCTTCTTATCCTTTGTTAGTATGAGTCCACGAGTGTGGCGTCATCGCAACATCTTTTTTTTTCTTGACAAATTTCACCTACACCCTCTTCGGTAGACTGACTATATATTTTCATGAAGCAATGCTAGACATACGCGGGGTTTATAGGGGAGTACGGGGTGGTTAGAGTAAGGCATGCAACGTGGTCCGTGAAGGTCCGTAGCCTTTGCCTATGCGTATAGCATTATCAATTTCCGTGACGAAGAACATTGTTTGGATTAGGACACCCTCGTCTCCGTGGCTAGTATGGTCTACATGTCTATCCGCTAATCCATCATATACTCACATGTCTACTTTTAATATGCTAATTAATTAAAAACTTATATATTTATTTGAAACAATATATATGGCACAATTTTTTACCATAATTTTACATAGAAATTCATGGGGTTATCCTTTATACCACTGATTTTGCCTAGTTCAAAAGGCATAGCAGCCATTTGCTTTCTTATGGTATACTAATGTAAAAATGAAGTTTTTTGTAATTTTCTTCGAGAGCATGGAGTTCTATGTCTATGATTTACCATTTTTTTTTGTTTCGTAGCAAACTCATGTACCCATTGATTTGGTATCCTTGATATTGTCGCGAATTTGAGGGCATCACATAGGCGTTCAATGAACCAGCGGCAGAACAAGGAATCGTGCGGTTTCGCAATAGATTGGCTTCCTGGATGTTGTGCATGGAAACAATGTAGGTGTTATTGCATATAAGGAACTAATGACTGCATATCTTTCAAGATAAGATGGTAAAAGGGCCAGTTCAAATTTGTCAAACTTGGAGTGATTTTGATCATTCCGATCATTGCAAAACCATGAAATCTAACCTCATGGATGTATCGAGGCTCTCCTATCGGCAGAACTCAACGACCTTTTCGGCCATATAGCCTTCAACGATGCTTCCCTCCTTCCGGTTATGCTTCCCTCCTTCGGTAGTAGAATTCTGTAAATCTCATGTTTAGGTTGTTTTCATGGCTTCTTATCCTTTTTTTAGTATGAGTCCAGGAGTGTGGCCTCACTGCAAAATATTTTATGTGTGTGGTGGTGATCCATACAAAAAACAGCTTCGAACACGGACTGCACTGTTTCTACGCGTCATATTGCTCTCATGGTCATGGGTAGGAAGTCGTATGAGGCTACACATACGCGCGTGCGTGCATAGCGTGTGACTCAGTAGATCGGCCTACTTAGGCAATGTTCACGTTCGTCATCGGTGCACCGTCACCACTAGTACGGCAATCACGAGTACTTGTATATATCTATCAATTTCACGCATGAGATATTTAAGCATCGTCTTAGAGAAGCTAAAAGTGCAGCACGTGCTTTAGCTAAGCATGGTGAGGGTCATGGGATGGAGTCATGGAGACCCTCTAGCTTCTTAATTCCTGTATATTGTTATGCCAAGTTAATATATACCGCCATGTTGGTATTTCCTAAAAAAAGGATGAATATCATAAAACCATCACATCTATGTCTAGGGTTTTAACTTGCAACCACTTTACTCTACCGCTACAAAATTGTATCTATTCCAGCATAATTTTTGACAGATAACACTAGTGAGCTGTTTGGAGTGAATTAAACATGTTTCCGAAAGAAAGGGCTCGTAGTAATTGTTGATGTGGCATAAAACGGTCAAATACCGGTTGTTTGACCGTTAAGTTGGACATGGACTCACCCTACATTAACACTACTCTCTCTCTCTCACACACATGCCTATTCCTTCAAGGCATTTGATCGAACAACTTGTGTGCGACCGCGACGTCTACCCCTGCCTTCTGCAGCCAACCGACCTCCTGGATGCCTTCTCATCACTAGATGATGTACATGAGCTAGCTACGATCTAACATAGATGATCTACAAAAGCAACTTGATAGTTCCTCATCGTGCACAATGTATGCATGTGACAAAGGAGTGGATGTAGGCAAAATTTGTTCTCCATGGGCCACGGTTTTGCGCACTTCTTTGTCTAAATGGTTCTTCCCATCTTCCTTCTCCTAGTGGCACGATAACGCGGTTCGGAATGCAACGATTCATTGAAATCGGTGATGGTGGCTGGCGACCATGTTTCTCTTTGTCGGTTTCTCCTTTCCGTGAACTTTTTGCCCTGTAAGTGCTCCTCCACGTGCGGTTGTGCTTTGCTCGTGGGCTGGGACGAGGAGGAGGGCTGGGCCACCGTCGTCGAAGATGACGGGGAAGACGGAAAAATGAAGAAAAAAATTCATCAAAATCTTGCCGAAGTTGGGGAGGGGCGCTATGGGTGGTGGAGTGGGACTGGGCTGGTAGGCGGCTGCGCCAATGGCCATGGGAGCTCTATAGCTTCCCCACTCTTAAACGAGACTTCCACATCCTAGAGCAAATATGGCTTAGTGTGGATTTCTTTTGGGAGGGAGGGGGGGGGGTGGATTCTTAATAACAGTCTATCTTCTTTAGTACAAAGGATCCAATAATGTCATAAGCTTATCGCTTCTGCACGACCCGGCTATTTAAGCCGGTCGACTAGCTCGTCACGCGGTCAGGTGGGACTAATACAGGTGTGAGAATCTTAACTATGAGCAATTTTCGGTGTGTTTTGACATCCCAGCTGACCCAAGATAGACGGGATGATCGTCGTGCATGGCGCTGCATGTAATAGGTGTTTCAAAAATAGGGTATGTCATTGCAAATGGTTAATTTTTTGGCCCGCCTAATCACTATCCGTGGGCGCGTCCGCAGATGTTTCAGGAGCCAGATTTGCAACCTTGCGGCTGTAGATGGTGTAAGAGGAATTTTTGTCGGTACATGCTGGTTCTCTAGTCTCGTGCACTTTTTGGCGAGAGCGGGTTATGGGGCCTTCGGTGTCCACGTCGACGTGAGCCGGCCGCCTCCCTCCCTCCACGTAGAGCTCTATCACCTCGTTCACGTGGCCACGGCCGCGTCCACCGGCGACCTCCTCACGGCCGCTAAAAATGCGCGCCTGCTCGCTCACAATAGACACAGCAACACAACATCAGCCAAGTGTCATCACCATCGATCTAGCCAGCAGCACCTTCTCTAGTTCTCTTCCCGTGCTAGCTTTTCTTTGCCTTGAGTAATGGCAACCATGGTGGCTTTGAGCTCCTTCGCCGTCGTTGGCCGGTCCGCCGCCCGTTCTCCGGTGGTGGCACCGCGCCGGCCGGCGCGCCCTCGTCGTCAGGGCCCAGGCCGAGGTGAGCTTTCACGTCTCCGCTCAACTGCTTCGGATGCTGGCTGGCTAGTGTTACTTCAAGACTCCATCTCAATGTAAAATTGTTTGTGTATGCGCAGCCTGACATGGACTCAACCAAGGAGACGACGAGCGCGTCGACCTCCTCCTCCCCACGCACGAGCCCGGCCCCGACCCCCATCCCGGCGGCACCCAAGCCCATGACCAAGAAGGCTAACCCCTCGGTGTGGGACGCGCTCGCGTTCAGCGGCCCGGCGCCGGAGCGCATCAACGGCCGGCTGGCCATGGTGGGCTTCGTGGCGGCGCTGTCCGTCGAGATGGCGCGCGGCGGTGGGCTCCTCGACCAGGCCGGCAGCGGCGCTGGGCTTGGCTGGTTCCTGGTGACTGCGGGGGTGTTCTCCGTGGCGTCGCTGGTGCCGCTGCTGCAGGGCCAGAGCGTGGAGAACAAGTCCAGCGGCGTCTGGAGCGTCGACGCTGAGCTCTGGAACGGCCGCTTCGCTATGCTCGGCCTCGTGGCGCTCGCCGCCATCGAGTTCATCACCGGCGTGCCGTTCGTCAACATCTAAGAGACTGTGGCATTGTGGATTTTCATTTTGAGCTGACAAATCGTAATAGCACTAACCAGTGTAGCCACATTGCAATTTTGTACCATGGGTAAGTAGAATTCTGTAAATCTCATGTTTAGGTTGTTTTCATTTCATGGCTTCTTATCTTCTTATCCTAAAATTCCTTTGTTAGTATGAGTCCACGAATGTGGCGTCACTGCAACATCTTTTTTTTCTCGACAAATTTCACCTACGTCTTCTTCGGTTG